AACAATGCCAATAAACAACATTGTAACGAATAAATCTGACAGATTGTTATTGTTGTAACTATCTTTCTTCTTTACTCGTAAAGCGGAGGTGAAAATATAGATTTTTAAAAAAGTGGAAGATCGCAGAATGTTATAATAAAGAAGGGCGCTGAGATTCAAGGAAAATCTTCAAAATATAGCTCTTACGATGGGTCTGAAAGGAACGTTGGCCACTTGATATCCATCGTAGAAATAATACGACATGGACATGACGTTATTTTGCATGCGCGCGGCGTGTTGTTTCAAGTTTAAGGTAAAAGGTGTCGGATTTTTTCTGCGGTCACCAACGTGCACGGTGGTCGCACGGTGTTGGATGTATACCGGCCGAGGTCCACTCGATTGGAACAACAGAGTCTAAGATCGAGCATTGCTTTCGACGATCAAATCGCCGATGCGAAAGGGAGGACGAAGATGCAAAGTCCTGAACATTAGCGGATTCCATAGTGAAAAAATGTGAAGCATTCATCTGTCATCATGAAATATTATTCGCATGAATACTTAAAAATATAAAAAAATTTTGAAATTGAGAGAATAAGAAGACTAATATTTTTAATATATGAGTAAATTAAAAGAAAAAATAAGCAAATTCGAAACAAGAGAAGAATATGTTATAAGTTTTTTTTTTTTTTTTTTAATTGAACACTAATCTTCTCATTTGCAATATTGTGATTTTTTTGTAGATGCATTTTTTTTAATAAGGCGATTGAAACCGCTTTGCTCGTTATCTCATTTTCTGAGATTCTTCCTATTTCTTGTACGTTTATTAAAAAGACGCCGCCAGTATCATTCAAATGCACGCAAACGTTTTCTTCTATGAACTAAGTCAATTATTCTCATATTACGTCGGAAATTGAAAGAATGGACATCACGGTTGAAACTGCAATTATTAATGTAACGACCAGGAAGTTCTCCCAGCTTCGATTTCGTAATCATCACGCGCATTTTAATTATTCCCGATTATACTATTTAATACTTATATTATCTAAGTTTCACATGTTAAAATTCAAAATAATTACTCGTTTACATTTATTTTATCTGCGCAGCAATTTGATAAGCAGAATAGAAAACTTAAATAAAATTTAAATAAATACATTTATCTTCACATATATACATATATAACAACAAAGTTGTACGCAGTGTAAAAGATAACTCCTGTTTTTCAAAATATCAGAAAATATCACAAAGCCGATTTTATTGTAATATATAATATTGAATTATTATTTTATAGTCACATAAAGAGACAAGCTTTATGATACGAAAAACTGACTGAGAACCCTTCCTCTCGAGCCAATTCGACGATTCGAATTGTGGAAGCGATTAGGTGTTTATATGCGTCCTGGCATGACTAATGCGTCTCGACGAAAATTGTATTCCGGCGATCATTTCCCGTGAATGAAATCTGCAACGTTGGCGCGACGTGAATTGAACGGAGTGAAATAAAAATTGACGATGACGTTGCCGCGACGGTCGACCTCGTTTAAGTCGCACGAGATGAGAATCTGCGTTATCGTTGACCTTAAGTACATCGCAGCTAATCCTAATGCGATCGCACGAAACATGCCGTCGTCGAAAATGCACTTTTGCGCTCAGCGATTTTTCATTCCCTGAACGACGGTGATCTCTTAATATAATTATTAATGTAAAATATTAAGACACCCTATCACGGAGGAGTTTCTGAGAAAAGGGCTGTCGTCCCCTTTCCCATTATATGCGATTAATCTTCCGTGGTATTTGCTCTAATGCATCCGACTGCAGTTGCATACGGGTCCACCCACATCCATTTTACTAAAGTTCGGGACGTTTTTCGTGAAGTTACCACGGAGGGAAAAAACCTTGTAGAGATATGTAACCCTCATAAAAGTTGAATTGACGATCCGTTACGTCTTGCCTGCGATAGATCGAAGATTCTTATCCGAGGAAACAGTGAGATGTTTCCATTAAAATATCAGTCATTTGACAATGATCCGCACCTATTCTATTGATAAATGTCAACAGAGTTGGGGGCTAATCAATTAAATGTTTGACTGCGTCGAATAATAATTTAAAATATTCTCTCCTCATTTATAAATGAACG